CGGACCGTAGCGTGCGGCCGCCGGTGTAAGACCTTACACCGGCGCCCGCAACTTCCCCACAAGGTCGCCGCCGGGCCTCGGTGGCCTGGTGGGAAATCCGGGGCCTGATAACACGATAAAGAGAGGAGGAGGCCATGTGACATAAGAGACGAATCACGCTTGCTTGAGCAGCGCTTGTGATCGGCATTTATCTTGTTGGATTAGCTCGTCATTGTGCCCGCAAATACTTGTCTGGTGAGCACAGCTCATGAGTGACCCAAGGGGCATCTTCACCCTTCTCCACCTTGCTGGCCCGTCCCTCAGCTCTCTTTTAACCAAAATCACTTGATGTGTTTAAAGGAACGCACCACGGACCTTGAGGATTGTGGTGTGTAATGACAGAGCATGTGTGCGATGTGCTGCGGAGGGACGCGACCGTTCTTGTCAAAATGATCTTTATTGTTCTTAACGCTAAATACAGAGCTCGCGGGAAATACTAAGTATCCATGTTAGCAGGAGGAAGGAGGTCCTGATCCCTCTATATAGATCTATCACTAGAGGGATCCCAGCAGGAGGAAGGAGGTCCTGATCCCTCTATATAGATCTATCACTAGAGGGGTCCCAGCAGGGGGAAGGAGGTCCTGATCCCTCTATATAGATATCACTAGAGGGGTCCCCAGCAGGAGGAAGGAGGTCCTGATCCCTCTATATAGATCTATCACTAGAGGGGTCCCCAGCAGGAGGAAGGAGGTCCTGATCCCTCTATGAATCTCATGGACAATAAATAATCAGGTTGATATTCTGATATTGATCGCAGGGATACTAATGGATCTTTTTGTTGTTGTTGTTGCAGGAGGAGCGCCGGCTCGCAGAATGCGCCATTTCAACACCCCGTAGCATCCCCTCCTCCGCTTAGCAGACAATCGATCTGTTGTGGACCGACGTTACCAATGAGAGACTCCACCATGCTGCACTCTGAGGGCAGCGCCTTACTGAAGGCCGTGTGGCAGGGTAAATTTAGACTGACCCGCCTCTTGCTGGAAGGAGGTGCCTACATCAACGAGGGCAACGCCCAGGGCGAGACCCCTTTGATGGCGGCCTGCTTAGCCAAATACGACGACCCCCAGAACAAATCCCGCATGGTGAAATACCTTCTGGAGAACGGGGCGGACCCCAACATGCCGGACAAGACGGGCAAGACGGCCCTGATGCACGCTTGCTGCATCCACACCGGGGCGAGCGTGGCCTCCGTGCTGCTGGAGCACGGCTCGGACCCGAGCCTGAAGGACTACTCGGGCACGTCGGCCCTCATGTACGCGCTTAACAAGGGCGACCGGGAAACCTTAAGGGTCCTCCTGGACGCCTGCAAGGCCAGAGGGAAAGAGGTCATCATCATCACCACGGACACTTCTCCTTCCGGCACTAAGAAAACCAAGCAGTATCTCAACTCGCCCCCCTCGCCCGGAGTGGACGAGAAGCAATCGCCGTCCGTGTGCATGTCGCCGTCGGACATTGACCTGAAGACATCGCTTTCCCCGGCCAGCGAGAAGGAAGAGGCGCGGGATGTTTTCAACTTCAACATGGGCACCAGGCTTACCTGCCCAACATCCAGCAAGCTAGAGGTCAAAACCTCTGACCACATACCAACCAAGGGCAGGATGGTCAACAAGAAACAATTGAAAAGACTCAACTCGGAGCCTTGGGGTCTGGTGGCCCCATCCGTCCTGGCTGCTTCTCAACTCGCCGTACCTCAAGAGAAACCCTCAGCGGAAGAGTCCGAGGAGAAGATGATCGCCGACGTCAACAACCTGTCCATCCACAAAAGGCCGGTGCTTTCCAGGCGTCATAGCGTAGAGGGGCAGGACTCGTCTTGTTTTAAGACCAGCGAGCAGTCTTCCGAGGAGGATCCCTCCGGGCCAGACCCGTCATGGGCTGACAAAGTTCAGTTTAGCCACCTCCACCAGCCACTCTCGAGGCGCAACACGGCGCCCGAGGCTCAGGAAACCGCCAACGTCCCCTTGGCTCCAACGATCGGGACTAATTTACGCGCGGCCCCTCATCATAAGCTGACGCGTATGGACCACTATGAATCCGATTCCCACCTTTGCCCCGATTCCATCCCGGGTTCTCCGGACTCTGGGCGGGTTTCCTTGGAACGGAGGAAATACAATGCTTCTCCATTAACGCTTTTCACCAGTTCCTCGCGGGAATCCTTAGAGAGCATCCCCAGCGCCGTCTCCCCGATGAGCGTTCGTAGGAGGACTCCGGGCCTCCTGGAAAGACGGGGCTCCGGGACTCTCCTTTTGGATCACATATCTCATACTAGGCCAGGCTTCTTGCCGCCGCTCAACGTCAACCTCAACCCTCCCATCCCAGACATCCGATCCAATGGCAAAGCTCCTTCGCCGGTGCATGGAAGCCAGAAGACTTTGGTTCCTGTGGCCCCCAGCTCTCCGAAACACTTCGATGCCAAAGCCAAAAAGAAACTCATAAGACGGCATTCTATGCAAACTGAACAGATCAGACAGCTGGCCAGTTTCCAGAACCTATTTACTCAGAATGAATCCTCCAATTAAAGGGATACGTCGTAGAAAGAGGAGACTTGATGTGAGATGGGAAACACTTGTAACATTCACAAATATGTACGTCAAAGCTTGAAGCCTTTAGCAGAACTTAAAGGAGAACTATGGGGTCAGGGCTTTCCCCCCATAGTTCTGCTAAGGGTCACGGGAGGGCATATACTAGCGTCTTCCTGTGACCCGAGGCTCAGTATATAGGGAGCTACGGCTCGCGGTATACTGAGACGCCGCAGCCGGGACATTACTGTCTGTATCCGCCCAGCTGCGTGATTGACAGCTGGCTCCGCCTATCTAGAGGCTGTACCCGCCCCCTCCCCCGTCCGTTCCGCCAGTCAGCGTTGGAGGAG